ATCTATTTGTAGAATAACCAGATTAAACTAATCCTAAACAACCGTATTTGCATAGTATGCGAATCAGTAGGATTCTAAATCGAGTAACAATATCTATTTGTAGAATAACCAGATTAAACTAATCCTAAACAACCGTATTTGCATAGTATGCAAATCAGTAGGATTCAAAATCGAGTAACAATATCTATTTGTAGAATAACCAGATTAAACTAATCCTAAACAACCGTATTTGCATAGTATGCGAATCAGTAGGATTCTAAATCGAGTAACAATATCTATTTGTAGAATAACCAGATTAAACTAATCTTAACAATCGTATTTGCATAGTATGCAAATCAGTAGGATTCAAAATCGAGTAACAATATCTATTTGTAGAATAACCAGATTAAACTAATCCTAAACAATCGTATTTGCATAGTATGCAAATCAGTAGGATTCAAAATCGAGTAACAATATCTATTTGTAGAATAACCAGATTAAACTAATCCAAAACAATCGTATTTGCATAGTATGCAAATCAGTAGGATTCAAAATCGAGTAACAATATCTATTTGTAGAATAACCAGATTAAACTAATCCTAAACAACCGTATTTGCATAGTATGCGAATCAGTAGGATTCTAAATCGAGTAACAATATCTATTTGTAGAATAACCAGATTAAACTAATCCTAAACAATCGTATTTGCATAGTATGCAAATCAGTAGGATTCAAAATCGAGTAACAATATCTATTTGTAGAATAACCAGATTAAACTAATCCTAAACACTCGTATTTGCATAGTATGCAAATCAGTAGGATTCAAAATCGAGTAACAATATCTATTTGTAGAATAACCAGATTAAACTTATCCGAAACAACCGTATTTGCATAGTATGCGATTGAAATAAATGAAAACAGTCGTCTGCTTCGTTATTATACTTTCCGTTCGAACTTTTATTGTTCAGCGTATCGCGATGTTATGGAGTGACTGTATTATTGAGTTGGCATTGGAAAAAATAGGCTACATACAAATTAGTGATTACCAACAACGGTTTCGTTGCCCGGTTAACAAGATTCCTTCTATATTGCGGGCATCAACATTCATACGAGCACGCGTGACATGAAAATTGCAGCACATGGATATTAATAGCAACTTACTCCCTTTGTTACTCACTCGTCAGTACACCTTGGAGATATGCTTCCCGTTATGTCATAAATGATGCCGAATGATGTGGCATATCTTCTTGCACTGCGCCACCAACGGCAACACAGCCGTACGTTACAGGATGGCGATGGTTTCAGTAATAAGTGTAAGTAAGTGTACATACAAGCAGCTTATATTGATTGTCACAATTGTAGCTGTTACTGAGTTACTAAATATAAACTGATACCAAACTTCGACATGAGTGTGTGACAATTCGCATCTTGTGTACGTGTATTACTACGTTCAAAATAACGTTTCATTTTCGCATAAAAAGTCACGGTAAAGTCGGTTTATTTCGATATGAACTAAATTTAACTCATTATCATTTTAATATATATCAATAACAACAATAGCATTCTAAACAGCTTACTAGTTATTTTATTGACATTTACATCAAACAGCCTGCTTTTAAAAAAAAGTTTGAATATACTTTTCTCAGGGGCGTCCTGTTTGAGGGCGTGCATCACTTGGGTCAACAGTGAGACTAACATGTGGTCTTTTGTTTACTACTTAGCGACTGTGTACCTGTGGGTTTATTCTGTGTGTGTATGTTCTAATCTTGGTGTTTTCCAGTGATTTCTCTAGGTGAAATCCAAATACAGTAGGTGTGTCTTGTTTACCTGAGATTTGAAAAACTTGAGCTGGCCAACATGTTAGTTTGTTTCATGTGGTTGATTACTGGCATGTTGATTTCCCATTTTTGAGCCATGTTTTCAACTTTGTTTATCATTTTCATATAGCAATCTCCCAATATGTTAACATTGTCTTCCATAGGGTTTCAATTAGTGGTATGAGCTCTGAACTGGCTTCATCGTTGACATGCATAGACATTATAGTATCCACTTCATCCGAAGCATACATGTGTCAACACTACCACATTACTACGCAATGACGATAGAGTACAGTGAATGCATTGTACGGTATCAATTACCAAGTCGCTACATCGTTAGAATGTCTGCGTACTGAGAACAATTATAGTTGACATTAACCAACATTCGAAGGAGGGGTTATTTTACCTATTACTGGACATTCGCAACATACCAACGTGGTACGAGTAATGGTGCACTTACCCAAATATGCCTGGTAATTGCTGAAAATTACACCACTTTTCTACAATTATACAAAATGTTCAGTAATTATGGGTACTTATTTGAACACCAGTTCACTCGATGTCACCGAAATGTAAGATATATGTGAACAGTGTAGACTACATACCGGGTCAGCCCGTCTCGATGTGGACGTTTAAAGTGGAGTCTATGCCAGGTAGTATTACTAACGTATATAAAGCTATTTGATCTGTGAGTATACATATTGGTAGTTATAGTAGTTTTTGCCGTGATTTATTTCACGTTTTTGCTTTGAATCTCAGCGTATTAAACTACTATCTCGGTACAAGTCGGTGGCATATGTATTCGCATTTGTAGCGTTCCCTTTGCAAGACTTTGCACTTCTACCAATTCTATTGCTGTAATATATCCTAAAAACATTCGAAACCCCGATCTAGTTAGTACTGTAAAGTTTGTATATGCCAGGTAATGGTCGACTTGAATATAGGCAATGTTGAAATACGATCGCCTTGAAAATAGGAAATTTGGAAGTACGGTCCACTCAGCGTGGGAACGTTTAGAAAACGGCCGATATGAATGTAGCTCGCCGCTAGGTGTAGATGAAATAATATTTATTCATAGAAGCCATCTCATAGCTGTAAATGACGTAATAAATGTAAAAAAAGGAAATGCTGGTTATGAACCTAAATATAAGTATTGGTAGGTCATTCTATTTAATCAATGTGGGACGAATTTGATCTACAACACATGACGCCAGTATTTGTTAGGATGGACTATAATGCAAAAAACCTACATAATTTATGAGTGGTATTAAAACATCCAAAACTGTTAAGTTTAAAACACACG